CTTTGAACAATACGATGACATAAATATCAAAATGGTTTACAAATTATGTAAATACACCTAGTAGCCTATACTTCATTAGTTCCAGGTTTACAGTTGTGATGTCGTGAGATGTTATATTGTTAATTTATTTTAGGCCTGTGTAAGGCGGTAATTAATTCTTTATGTTATTATCATTAAGTGGATAATGAGTCACAAAACAAATAACCAAAACATCTCAGAGGTGGGGGCGCCAAAAGTGTCTTTGTCTCCGGGTGATGAGAACCCTTGCTACGCCACTCGCATCTAGGGTTACCTCGTGTAATTTTGCTGGATTTGTTTTAATAATTTAAGCCATATTTTAAACCAATAACGAATAACTTTGTTTTCAGATGCATCTTACCGTAGTATATTATACTTCTTTTTCATTCTCCAGGGCTGATTTTTGATGGACTCAATGACGTATTTGTACAACCTCATATTTTCTAGTATCTCTTCTTCTGTTGCGTCAGCGTCGTCAATTGAAATTACTGTCTCGCTACGGAAAAAACATAAACAAAACGAGCTTAGACTGGACAACAGAAAGTTAATAAGGAAGATAATGTAACTATAACTTTAAGAATTTATTTACACATTTTGAGATTCTGAGAAGTCTACATAACAGATAATATAACAAACAAAAATATTTACAAAAATGACCAACGTCCAAATGGAGTTTTTCGATGCATCATTAAATGTCTCAGCATTTTTTTTTATTTATTCTTGCGCTAAAGCGTGCAATGAGCTATCTGCGCTGTGTCTGCTGTGTGTTTGAATCCCAATTTTAGCATTATTAGCCCTCAACTTACCACTGATCCATTGAATGGTGGACGAATTCTAACTGAAGAAATATGATTACGTATAGCATATTCATGAGGCGAATCCAAACGGTTCGACCCCCTATTCCAATGCAAAAAGAAAATCGAAGGAAAAAAATGAAACATTAAATAGAAATTAAAAGAAAAATATAGATGCAAGTGGTAGAAATATTACATGTAACTGTTTTCTGGGATCTGTAATCTTCGTATTATTGTATGGAAATGGTGTCTGGACGATCTGTAATGTGTGAAATGTTGAAGACATTCTTAAATGATCTTTTTTTTTCATAATCTTACGATTGATTTATAAAACCCACCACGTGTCTTTGAAGGAGCCCCTTTTCATCGGTATAACTATCAAACATCTCATCCCTATGTCTAGCCCATCAGTGAATAACGTTTGATATAATTTAATTCCAAAGATCCCTTCAAGATGGGGCATGGAATGGCCTGGTGGCTAGGGCGCTCGACTCGCAATCTGAGGGTCCACCAAACATACTTGCCCTTTCAGCCATGGGGGCGTTATAATGTGACGGTTAATCCCACTATTCGTTGGTAAAAGAGTAGCTCAAGAATTGGCGGTGGGTGGGTAAGACTAACTGCCTTTCCTCTAGTCTTTCACTGCTAAATTAAGGACGGTTAGTGCAGATAGCCATCGTGTAGCTTTGCGTGAAATTAAAAACAAACAAACACTTCAAGATCCCGATTCGTAGAGTCACCTCCACTGTGATGGGT